CWYCTCTCTGAGGGGACTGAAGCAGAGAGAAAGAAGGCAGGTCAAAGGTCCTACTGCAGAYGACTACATGCTACTAATACTAGTACTACTACTAGATACAATTATTCTGTGCATGGCCTCAAAATTGTCACAAGTGAAGAAATTCCAAGCTCCCATCTATACCACATCAACTCTGTGGCACCTCTTTCAGTTGCCCTCCTAAGGATTATGCTGTGCTTTTAACGTCAATCAACTTTTTTCTCTTAGTACATTGAAACAGACTTAGAAAAGGTACTGCTAAAAAGGTATACGCAATGTAGTATTGGTAGCGTCAAAAGCTAAAAAATGCAATTACAGCATCTGTTCATCTGGAGCGCCAGGGTATCTGATACGACACTGTTTTAATTATAGAAATTTACCAACAAAATTTATCCTGGCAAGGAATTCCCCTAATCTTGACATCCTCCTTTTTTATCGTGGGCGGTTTATGTCAGGCAAAGTACAAATACAAAGCTATACAACCTATTTCAGGCAAAGTGTAAAGACAAAGCTATACATCGAAATGAACTGAGGGCGACCCAATAGCGTTTTCTTCATAGCCCTTGATCAAATTTGCCATTTTATTGCCGTCTGAAACTGTTCAACGAACAAGTAACTCCAGGAAGTCGCTTCACTGAGTCATTACCCATCCAACAATCATTGAAGTGATTGGAACAACATAAGGAACGTATCGTCGCGGTTGAATACCAAGTATCATGCCCTTTGACTCTTGGTTCGGTAAATTCTCCTCACTTCCATCAACAGTATTTTCCCTTTGCATTCCAATACCCGCCTTTGATTGAATGGWGTGATCTGTGCAAGAATTCTCAAGATTCCATTCGAGTTGTATTGGAGGTTTCATCTCTGAGGACAACGAGGGGGTTTCAAATGCGGTRACGCTGCTGTTCGCAAGGATATCTCCATTACTAGTATTGTAGACATCGACAATATCGTTATTGCCATYGTCACTTCCGAGATCATTACTTGACGAAGACGAACTATCTGGTAGCTGTGCTATGATTTCTGCCATCTCCTTTGTTCTGCGGATCAAATCATCTGCGGCCTCGATTTGAGTGTGGGCCTGTTGTTTTGTAGTTTCACAATTGGAAATTACCGTCGAAGCCACCCGACTGCCCTTACCACTTGTAGAGTCAAATGTTGTTTCRGTGTGATTGGCGCCGGCATCGTTTTGACTCTGAGTGCTTGCACAGCATTCAGCGGAGGTAGACGACAGCATTGCTAGCACTTCCTTTTCCTCGTCGCGGTAGTTGTCTGAAGTCTCGACTGGAGWTCGGGATCGTTGTTCGTTTTTTGGGGGCGACAACATCGACAAAACCTCCTCTTCTTTCTCGCGAAATTCAGCATCGACTTCCTCAACGGTTTTGATGTCACATAGTAACGACTTSTCGCCCTCTAATGCGCCATCGGCGATGGGAAGATATTGAGGTAGCTTTCTTCTCTCGAAGTGTGGAGTAGTGATTGATGAAATTACTGACGACTCGTCATCGTCCGTGATCACGATTTTGATATCTCTYGGAGGAACATTAGCGCATTCGCTGTTTTCATTTRTGTCTCGCTTGGATATCGATCTCGTAACAGACCYTACCGCAGAAGAGAAAAAACTACGGGGTGATTTCTTTGTGAGGGATGAAGTCCTCGGCGTGGCTACTTTACGCSCTCGTTGAATAGGGGTGTAATAATCCTTCACAACAACGGACTCGTCGTCGTTGATGATAAGTTTCTCGTGCAATGGTTCTTCATCAACACCTATGAAGCTATTACAATTCGTGTCGTAAAGCTGCTCCGGACMATCGCCACCACTATRATTTGCATCGTCGTTCGCGGCGTCATYCTCAAAGTCGTCGACAATAAAGGCATTATCTGGCATAGATTGGCTCTGTTGATTCGTCTTTTTTAGCCTTTCCTCTCCTTCGTATTTTTTGTACCAGTTCACAATCTCTTCCATTTCCGTGGCCGTTCTTTCGGCAAAGGAAGCTTGCATCTTCGACCTATTGATGGCTGCTGTAGATAACGRWAGGCCTTGTTTCGCTTTCTTTGCGGATAGAGAAGAAGAGGAAGACAACTGATTTGCGATTTTTCCTCCCTTCGATGTGAAACCATGAGATGATGCAGTCTGCATTCCACTGAAAGAGGCGTCCTTTCGATTCCCAAGAACTACTTCTTCACAGGTATACTCGGTCTCTTTGCTTGTCATATTGTTGCTCGTGTTAGTGTGAAAAATCATTGGTTATTCGTTCGTCCTGGCATCACCCTCAAGTAGAAMTGAGTAATGTTAGCTCTAGATAGAGTTTGAAGTTCTTAAGATGAGTCGAACAGAGTTGTCTCCCRACAAGATACTTGTAAATAACAATATCCTTAGTACCAGAAGCAGAAGTGTTTGAGATRCAGTAATCTMATGCATGATGCCACACAAAAAATCACAACATGGTGCACTTAGATTCTGAATCATCATCGGTTGAGAGAGCCTCGATGTCAGCCGTAAGGATGCAGGTGAATTTGAATTCCATTTCTTGCTGGTTTGCTAAGTAAGTTCGGCGACTGATTAGTTTTCTATTTTTAACAAAGTTTGGTCGAAGTGATCAAAGATGTTAAAACAAAATACACTGAGCATTACTGTATTTCTCAACTGGGCCCTACCGTACCGTACGTACTGTACTGTAATAGTGGTAGTAGCGTGCGTCATTTTTTTGTACTGAAAATCGAAAAACCATTCGGTTCTTGGTTTACGATGCGATGCGAGCGCGAAAGACCCTCTTACTATTCATTCCCATCAATGCGTCAGCTTCTACTCGTAGTCGTACTCGTTCTGTGATTGGATTCCCGTCTCTGTCGATAAATCATCTACAACATGGAATAGTCAAGGAAAATCTATATTGCGTCAAACGGATTATATTCGATGCCAAGGTTAAGTGTCTGAACTATGGTCCTATCGCATTATTACAGCCACAATAAGGAAGACGAGGTCTTTTCTTCATCCCGGTCAATCGTTTCTCTCTCTTCAAATTTCCGGAACTAGGAAAACCATTCGTATGCACCGCCCATATAGTTTACCAACTGTGTGTAGCCGGCTTGAGCCGCGTAAGCGCAGGCATTTTTACTCCGGATTCCTGCCGCACAAGTGAACACTAGTGTCTCGTCTGCCGTGGGCTTCGGAAAACCGCAGATTCTTTCAAAATCGTCTTCGTCCATCTCAAAGACTCCCATATTTCCCACAATAGAGAGGGGTAGCGTATGAGTGTTTGGGCTCACTTTGCCACTAGCGGCGACCTCGTTTTCCTCTAYTCCAAAAATCATTAGGCATTTTTGTTACAGAGTTGTCAAGAGTGAGTACATGGCGTCCGAATCGAGCAACATGAAATRAAAATGGTTCTGAAATCACTTTCTTTCCTCATATCATGSACTTACCTCGAACATCCATTACGACGTAACCCGAAGCCTCACGTCCTCCTTTTTCATAATCTTCAATTATTTCTTCCATTTGCTAAATTATTCAAAATGTAACACAAACGTAATTGTAATGATTACCATAAGAAAACAAAAATGATTCGATCAGAAACAAAAATGAACAAGTAAAAAAAGATGCAATTAGCAAAGATTCTTGAGTATCATCACGGTCGCTTTCGTTAATAACTGCGATTGCTACATTTCGCTTATACCCCTTCATCAGAAAATAAACATACCTCCTTGTCGACATTCGTCAATTGTGGTCCATTGATGCTTGAGAACAATCTAGAATCCTTYCTATTATTCCTAGAACCAGCAATRTGCGGCGAGACTTGATTATTCCCACCTGTATTGCCCATGGTATGAAAATAATTCGTCGATCTGATAGAGGGGGCAGGGGCGAATGCTTCAGACAAGTCGATGTAYCGACAAACACTTCCGCTAAGAAAAGCCTGCGCACCCAAAAACGCTAGTTTGTTCCCAGTAGTTGACGATGCCCTGCGGAGAAACTTCATGATTGACAAGAAGGTTCCAAACAATAACACTAAGTGCGTTTTTCATCCGTCGGAAAATGATTRTGTTGAGCAAAGCTTTGGTTACGGCATGCAAATGGATGCACTTCCTGACTATGCSTACTCGTACCGGTACGMGGTAGGAAGGCAAA